ACAAAAGACACCAAACCACTCATTTTAGTTAATGACTTATAAAGATTACAGGAACGATAAGGGTATTAACCTGTCCTAAGCAATAGCCTTTCGAATCAGAAATGAAAAATGTGGGTGTTTATGCTAGCAGACTGTTAGCTCACTCGGCCAGTAGTTGCTTATGTATTTCAACATCTGTCACAAAGCAAAATGTGCCTTGGGCAATTTATTTTTATTTTCTTTAACCTATTTGATTGACCAATATATACAAAATCCAAAGAATTGCGGATAACGAGGCCATTATATTACATTAACAAAGTGCAAAAATTTGGCATTTATTTGTTGCTCAGGTGGACAATGGCGAGCCGCGCGTGATTTGGTTGTCCGGTCTGCATATACCAGAGTCCTACCTTACTGCCTTGGTGCAGACGGTTTGCAGACGCCAGGCCTGGCCTCTAGACAAGAGTGCTCTGTTCACTTCGATTACCACCTATCTGAGGCCTGAGGATGTGCCTGATCGAGCACACCAAGGTGCCTTCATCACGGGACTTTTCATCGAGGGCGCTGCATGGGACTCTGTAGACGGTTGTCTTGTTCGCCAGCCTGCAAGACAGCTGGTGCAACCATTGCCTATTGTCAAGATTATCGTGATTGAATCGCATCGCCTCAAAACCCAAAATACCTTTCGAACGCCAGTCTATGTTACAGCTGACCGTCGAAACGCAATGGGACTTGGACTTGTGTTTGAGGCCGATCTAGGCACCAAGGAGCATCAAAGTCACTGGGTTCTACAAGGAGTTTGCATCACTTTGAATACCGACTAGTTAGCCAAAACTGTGTGTGCCCCCTTGCAGGTATATATGTATGCTTGTGTGCACATAAGTTTATATAAAGGCAGAGCTGTAAGTCCGCCTTCATACAGGCAAGCATCTATTTATCCATATCATCCCATCATTTTGACTTAGGGATAATTAAACCGGCTAGATTAATATGATAACTTTCTGGAATGGAAACATCCTCCGGCCTCCTAGCATCCTTTCTTATTTTTAAGACCAAGTAAATTTATTCTAGTCTTGTTTGCAGCCGGTTCCCTTCCATGCAGCCAACTCTATTAACGACGATCATGTATTTGGCTCGCAAGGAAAGTAGTGATCTGTAGAACTCTTTG